GCTGAACCCTGTACATTTATAGCAGTTTTATAGCAAAACTTTTGAAGAAATAATGTACATACAGTAAGTAAGGAGAGGAATAGGTGGAGAGAGATGGTTTAGAGTCATTGAAAGCAATGTATTGAACCAAATAGGTGTGGGCTGTTGCCTCCCCCTCTGGTTCGGAGCTGTTGGGAAGCCGCCCTGCTGAGCTGGCCTGACCTCGGGAGCTTTGGTGGCCACGTCTTATCCCTGGCTGGACTCTTATCCTCTTGACTCGGTCGTGTTTTCCAGACTTGTGGTGAAGGGGATAATGGGCACCCGTCTGTAGCTTTTGGAAGAAAATGCCAGAGACAAAAAAGAAAACAAAATTTATGCCAATTCTCGATTGTTTAGCGTGGTCGCTTCCGCCAGCTGTGTTTGTGAGAGGTGGGAGCTGGAGGTGCGATGAAGGCACGAAGCCACGTGTTGTTTGGAGAAGGAAATGGTGGCGGCAGGGTTGAAACGCTGACACAAAACTCTCTCCCTTTCTGACCCTTTTACCTCCTATGGTTGTGCTCCTAACTGGAGACAGACAAACTGTTCTTCCTTTCTCTTTTCTAAAGTAAAATCCCAATTCAATGAACTTGGTAGCATGAATGTAGCATTGTGGAACTATCGAAAATCTTATTTAACTCCGAAAGGGCCCGTTTATGTATCCACTTCAGTGATTTCTCTGTAGAACTATTGTATATCTATCCTCATTGACCACTTGTAGAACTAGGGGTGCAAAGTAGAAAGGTAGCTTGTGCCGTTGCGTAGCTTCTGTAGGCAGATGTATGTTTGAGTGAACATTACGGACTGTTTTACTGGTGCAGTTGACTATAGTATAATGAGAAACGATGAATGCATTTCTCTCTTTTCCAAAGATCTATATTCCTCATGGTTTGTGATGTTTATGACATGAGCATATTATTTCCTTTGTAGCATTCATTTGACTAAAGAGATGAAATACTCTAAAAGCTGTGACTGGAAAGACAATAGAGTGTTGATGTTTAAAGTCCTTTGTGCGAATAGTGTCATTGAAGTTAACCATTTCTGAAAGAGGAAAATGAATTTCTTCCCCTTTTTAACTGGTTGAATTTTTCAAGTGGCTGCTGGGAAAAGAAGGGATCAGCAAAGGATAGGATGCAAAAAAAAAAAAAATTGTAATTATTTAAACTTTAGAGTTAAAAATAGAGCCTGTAACTCCCTCAGTTGGGCCAGCCTGTAAAGGATGAGCTCCGGGTGTGCGCTGGCCGCCAGCACGCAGCACGGTCGCAGCCAGGACATCCCCCCCGCAGAGGCCGAATGCCCGTTCCTCGCACGCCGAGCGCCTCTTGATGCAGCATCTTCTCGGGGGGATGTTGATGCAGCATCTTCTCCGGGGGGATGTTGATGCAGCATCTTCTCCGGGGGGATGCCGAGGACGGGCCCAGGCAGTGCCCGCGGAGCACGGCTCGCCCGCGGGGTGCTCTGCCTGGGGGAGCTGTGGCTGCTGAGCACACAGGACAATTTGTCGTTCCACTTCTACCTGCTTCCTCCAGCCTTCAACTACCTGCTCTCGGGGTGCGTCCGTCTGAAGCCCTGAAACCGGTTTGTTCACGCGCAGTCAGTAATTGCTGTCTGAATTGGCTTGGTGGAGCTCACCTCTAATAAGGGTAATTGGAGCGAGCAGTTTATGGTGCGGCTGAGCCGCCGTCCCTGCCTGCGCTGTTGGAGGATCAGCAGCCCTGTCGCACCGTTACGCTCAGCCCCACCACGAGGAACTGCTGCTGCAGCTCCTCTGTGGTCTGGATTTGCTTTTAGCAGGGGCAGGAGGAACGGGGACACCTGGTTAACCCTGGAGAGAAGCAGATTAAACTGGGATAGCTAAATTGGGTGCCAACCCTGGCTGTTCACCCCAGCCGTGTGTGGGAGTTTCTGCTGGTCTTGCTGTGAGGCAATACTGGATGCGACCTCAAACCCCGTCCCTGGCCTGATGGATGTCAGCAGAGAGCTCTGCTGGCTGCGTTATGGCCTGGGCTGGGACTGTCGCCTCCAGGAGAGGAGAAGGGTGGGCAGCAAGCGCATCAGCTGTCCCGGCTGCGGCTCCGCAGCCTGGCTCACGCGCTGGGAGCAGCCCCTGCCAGCTCGGTGCCTGCAGAGAATGCTCACTCAGCTGTAGAGGCCTGGGGGGGGGGTGGTGGTGGTGTTTGTGTGTGTCGAATTTTTGGATGTGGCACTTGTCTTATACAGGGTTTTCCAGAGAGGCTTTTCTCTCTTCCTCTCATTTGGCTGGGAAGGAAAGGGAAGAAGAAAATTCAGTTACCTGAAGGACACAGAAATAGGTAAAACTGAGACACAGCTTTTTGCACCTCTTCTCATGCTGCAGCTGCCAGCTTTCCTCTGCAGCTGACCTCCAGGCCTGGGATGGGAAATGGGTGAGTTAGCAGATAATCCCTTCCTGCACTAAAAAAAACAAAACAAAAACAAAACCAGAGGAATCCTTGTAGCTCTAGCAAAACATCTGACTGCAAAAGGCAACCGGCCAACTCCTCCTGCCCCATGCGAGGACTCTGCTGCGCGCACCCGCGGGATCCCACCTGCTTCTGCCTCCGAGTGCCTCTAGAGCCACCCGAGCCACAGCCCGGGGGCTCCGCGCTGCCTCTGCACAGGAGGCTCTGGAAATGAATTTATTCTTCATTTCTCAGCCTGGACTTGTTGCCTGGAGCTTGGCAGAGGTTTCCTGCTCCAGGGGCTTCTGGAGTACACGTGTATGTGTGTTCCCGTCGTCTCTTCACACACAGGCTCTTCTCCGTGGTCTGGGGGAGATGTTCCCCCTCGATTGCCCCGGCAGCATTATCGTCGTCGTCTGTGCTGCGTTAGCGTCTCTCCTGCTCCTGGCACACATCCATTTCACAATAGCTGTGGTTGTTTCGGGATGTGACTGCGTTAGTGACCTGTGGCTGGGAGTTCCTGTTCCCAAGGCTCTGCTGGCAGAGGGACTGCAAATGCTTCATCACCTTCAGGCAGCATAAGTGGGGGCAGTTGAAAGATGGAAAATGCTGATTTTAAATAGCCAGCCTGGCGGGATCTGGAAATGGGAGTGTGTCCTTAGTCCCGGCCCAGACAGGAGACGGAACGACAGGCTCACTCTCCTCTCTTGGTGTAAGTGCAAACATTCAACCCATCAAAACCCAGTTTAAGAGTCACAGACATATTATTAATGTATTGGGCCAGGATAAGGGATGTTACTGTATGATTAAAAAAATCCTTCTAGGGCCCTTGGCAACTGGCACGTGTTGCCGGAACCATGCCTCAGAGGATGTGCTGGGTTGTGCCGTGCTTCCTCGAGAGACCGGGCCGCGCTGCCGCTATCGGGACACAGATTTGCAGGTACGCGTTAAGCTGAATTGCTCTGTACTCTGGGCTTTGCCGTGACATTCCCTGGAGCTGATGATACAGCCAGCCCTTCCTGAAGGATGCCACGCAGATATCCTCCCAAGGGATATCGAGCCGCGATAGCATTTTCCACATCATCTGTAAAAAGTTGTTTGTGATCCTGTATTTTGTCCCACTGATCACAGAGTATCCGTGGCTTTCTGCATCTTCCGTGGGAGTGGTTTTTAATTCTCAGTTGTGGAAACAAACACAAGCCAAAGTCAACTGGAAACTGTTACGGTCTTGATGACAAGTCAGCCTGCTAATAATACCGTATACTCGAGCGGAGTGAGTAACGGAGGGTTTAATGACCGTGAACCTGATTGTGATCACTGTTACTCCCAGGTACTCCTGCTGTGTCGTCGGCAGAATTAACCGTAAGATAACAGAGTTTGCTGTCGCTGCCTGAAACGCCAGTGCGCGATCT